ATGACCAACATGACCAACATGACCCAACATGACCAACATGACCCAACATGACCCAATATGACCAACATGACCAACATGACCAACATGACCCAACATGACCCAACATGTCCCAACATGATCCAACATGACCCAACATGATCCAACATGACCAACATGGCCCAACATGACCCAACATGATCCAACATGACCCAACATGTGACTAATAACCAAGTTATTAAAGAAGTTTTATTTTTTCAGCAGCTGTAAACTTTGTGTACCAAAGTTTTTTTTTTTTTATGTGAAGCTAGTTGTTAGGAAAAGTGAATAAAAACAGATTTATAAAACAAAAGCATATAATTTTCTGTCCTTCAGCTCGTGTTGAGCTGCAGTGGATAAATCTCTGACTGGAACATCTTTAATCACTACGTGTGTTTTTAGCTGATGAGTCAGAGCAGAAGTAACAATTTTACATTTTTATAACAGGAAGGGTGGAGGAGGACAGAGGCATTTGTTCCATGGGGGGGGGGGGGGGACCCTGAAGACTCGCTGGGCATGAGTGACTCAGACCCAAACTGGACTTGCACCCTCTCAGGGTCCTCTCGTCTCACTGGCAGTGAAGCAGATCCAATATTTTTATCAGCCGACACTCAGCCGAGAGCTCAGAGGAAACTAACCATTGTTAGAAAAATTAAAGACACGCTGCCAACTTTTATCAAGTTTATTTAAAACTTGTGGGATTCTCCTGCCAGTTTTCTCATGAGAAGCAGGATTCCACAAACATCCCATCATAACCAACATACTCATTAAATCATCAAAGAATCAGCAGGACCGCCTCGAGATCCTCCCAAAGCAGAGGCTAAAAACATCCTAACAAGCTTCAGGAACATCTACTGTCAGACAAAAACTAAACCAGACGGTTTATGATGTGAAACTAGGAGGGACTCCCTGAAACACCCAACAGAACCACAAGATGGAAAAGTATTTTCTCTGGAAACAAAAGTTGGAGAATGTTGAAGATTAGCAGTAGCTTTGTACACGAGCCAAAGTTTCCCCAGAGGTCCAAATGAATCCTCTTTCTCAGCCGGACTCAGTGCTGAGTCAACATCAAACCGGAGCTCAGACTTTCCTCCCTGCTGCACCATGTGGTGAAAACAAACCACACAACTTCTGACGACGTGGTGTTCAGAAGAAAAACATGAAGACTTAATACACTGGGAGTACTTGGAAAGAGAACAAACTGACAAAACAAATTGTGCAACCTGATGAAACGTTTCAGCTGATTTTATCAAACAGGTCAAAGACAAGACACAATCCTGAGCAGTGGTTAACAGTGATATCATGACTGACACTTATTAAAACTTTGTCTCACACTGCTGAGGTTGGGGATGCCCTCGAGTCATAGGTTAGAGGTGGGGGACACCCTCGGATCATAGGTTAGTGGTGGGGGACACCCTCGGATAATAGGTTAG